AATTTATTATGTTTTTAATGACATAAAATATTCTGTATTTATTCTGTTTTTTTAAAAAAATAAAAGTTTATTTTCTGTTTTATATATTTTTTTAAAATATTCTATTTTATAATATATATAAATTTAAAATTTCGTTTTTTTATTATTTTTAATATTTTTTTATATTCTGTTCTAATATTTCTGTTTTATAATATATATTTAGTTAATAAAAAATATTTTTTTTAATATATATAATTTCGTTTTAAGTAAAAAAATTAAATAGTTTTTTTATTTGTTTTTCATTTGCAAAAATTATAATATTAACCTAATAACAACTTTAAAAAAAAAATATCAAATTTAACCTAAAATACCAACCAACAATTCAGAAAGTATATCAAATTTATAAAAAAAAATTTAAAAAATACCTCTTCTTCAATCTTCTTGTTCAATCTTTTTCAAATCCTCTTCAATATTCTTTTATTCAATATGTTGGAAAAAATTAACATAAATTAAAATCCCAATACAGTATAAACATTAAACAAAATTGTAAAAAAAATTGAAGAAAAATTATAGAAGAGTATTACCTTTGTAAATTGGAAGTAGAATAGAAATTGAGATATGAGTATATAAAGATGGTGAGAAATAGAGAGAAAAAGAAGAAGATATAGAGAGATGGTGAGTAATGAGATTTTTGTTTGTGAAACGAAAAAAAATAATATATAGCTAATCAGTGACGTTAAAATCACATTGCAACCTTGCCACGTGATTTCCACGTTGCAAATTCCACAACGGTCAATAACTTATTCGCACGGCCTATAGTCACCTGGAGCAAGTCAATTCAAGCCAAACTCTTTTCCCACTAAAATATTGCGACATGATTACCGCGTCGCAAACAACCAACATTAATAAATTAATACCCAATCAGTGACATGAATATCACATCGCAACCTTGCCACGTGATATTCACGTTGCAACCAACATATAGTACAAAGACTAAAAAGTCTTCTGCGCCCAATCAATTCTCTGCCAGTCTACTATGTCACTTTATTTTTCAAAAATTTTCACTTAAATTTTGTGACGTGATATACACGTCACAAATTAAAATTTGAGATTTTTTTACTTCCCCCCATTTGAACGTTTAAGTTTTTCATTTTTTTTCATTTTTAATTTGCGACGTGATTAACATGTCGCAACATTATTTTTTTAAAATAAAATTTGATTCCCTATGTGAATATTGCAGGGTGAATATTTTATTAATATAAATAATTAGTGACGTGATAATCACGCTGCAACTCACTTTTTTACCACATAATTATCACGTCACAAAATCACTTCGCTGGTGAGCCTTTTTCTTGTAGTGCGTAATCAACCATCATAGTTAACATAAGATCTAACATGTTTTTTATTTTAGAATGTCTTAGTAGTTTGAGAAGGTTATGAGTATAATGAATTAATATGTTTCTATGAATTAAATGATGAATTGTGTATTAAAATAAATACAATAATATTGTTGTGTATTTATCTTTCATTATACCAATAATTTTAATGTACACAATTGGTTTAATTTTTAATATGTAACTATAATTACAATTAAAAGTTATATTTTAGAAAGGCATTTGTTTGTCTATTGCAAAGTTATAAATTAAATTTAAAAGTATTATTTAATCATTTTATTTTAAGCAATATTAAAATGAATAATAAAAGTTTTCTATTGATAAACTTTGCAGAGCACCACATCATATTTTAATTTTGTGAAATAAATATATAAAATTTAAGTAGTTTTTTATTGTTTGAATTTTAATTTTTTCAATATCTCTAAAAATGTGTTTTCATTATTTTATAGATTGAATATGTATTATATTCGAATGATTCACCCGATACATAACCAACCATCACAATTGGCATAAGATATAAGATGAAACTCTCTATTTAACCATTTTATTTTAAGCAATGTTAAAATGAATATTAAAATTTTTTTTATTGATAAAGTTTGAAGAGTGTCACATTATATTTTAATTAGTTTGGCACGAAAGATGATGAGTTATCAATCAAATGGTTTGGGAAATTATGAACTCAATCAAATAGTTTGTCTCAAAATTAATATATTATAATGGATAATAGATAGATATACTTTAAGTATTGTAATACTCATTTTATTTTTTAACTTTTATTTATAATTTTTATGGAGTAAAATACTATATTATGTATTTCGTACGAAAAAATTTATAATTTTTATGGAGTAAAATACTATATTATGTATTTCGTACGAAAAAAAGATGATAGACACAAACAAAAATGTTATTGTGTGTTTGTCTTTTATTATACCAATAATGTTTAGTTGATTTAATTCAATTGAATTGTCTTTTTTATTTTAAATATTTATAATTTATTAATATATTATTTGACATTTATATATAATAGGTTAAAAAATAATTATTTAATTTTAAATTTGAAGTTTAATTTTTAACAATTAACTATAGTTACAACTTAGAATTATGTTTTAGAAAGGCATATGTTTGTTTATTGCAAAGTTAAAAATTAAATTTAAAATAATATTTAAATATTTTATTTTAAACAATGTTAAAATAAATATTAAAAAAATTTTATCGATAAATTTTAAAGAATGTCACAACATATTTTAATTAGTGTGTCATGAGAGATGTTGAATTATCAATTAAATGATTTGAGAGATGATGAATTTAAACAAATGGTATGTGTCTTTGAATTAATAAATTATAATAAATAAATATATTTTAAGCAATGTAATACTCATTTTAATTTATTCTTTAACTTTTATTTATAATTTGTATGGAGAAAACATTATATTATGTATTTTGTAACAAAAAAGATGATAGATAAAAAAAAGAGTAATGATTAATATATGAAAAATAAAATAGAGAATTAATTTATGAAATATATAAATAAGAGTGTTTTATTTTAGTAATTATGAAACGTGAGGCGGCAATGAAAGCCCAAATGGAGGCTCAAATGGAGGCAATGAGACAAGATCAACAATGACAAATGGAGGTCATGGCGAAGAAGCAGGCTGATATGAAGCAACAAATGTGACAATTTATGCAAGGATTTGGTGGAAATCAAAACTTTCGTGGTCAAGAGCCGGAGGATGACGAAAGCGAGGATGATTTTAACATTGACAATTATACCAACCAAGATGACCCGTAAACTTAAATTTTTATTTATTTATTCACGTTTGAATTTGTGTACCATACTAATTAATTAGTTCTTAAATTTATAATTTTAGTTTATTAATTTTATTATATTAAATTTAATATATCGAATTTATTATATATAGAATTTATTAAATATTAAATTTATTATATATTGAATTAATTAATTAATTTAGTTTATTATATATTGAATTTATTAATTTAATTGATTATATATTGAATTTATTATATATTAAAGTTATTAATTTAATTTATTATATTAAATTTATTAATTAAAATTATTAGTTTAATTAATTATATAAAGAAAAACAAATCTAGTTATTAAATTTAAATTTAAAAAAAAAAACATTAGCGACATGAATTTCACATCACAAGTTGTGACGTGAAAATCACGTCGCAACTTAGCATATAAAGGGATTTAGTGACGTGATTTTCACGTCACTAGTTTGTGATGTGAAAATCACGTGGCAAATGAAGTCACTTTTACACTATCCACCTACTTTTCCTGCAAAAGCAGATATTCCTATAAAATATGTTGCAACGTGATTTTCACGTCACAACTTAATGACATGAAAATCACGTCGTAAATAATTTGTCATCCTCTCCCTAGCCACGTGATCATTCACGCCGCTAATAATTGGTTGTGATGTGAATTTTTAAATTGTGAAGTGAAATTTACGTCGCAGATAAGAGTTTATATATATATATATATATATATATATATATATATATATATATATATATATATATATATATATATATATATATATATATATATATATATATATATATATATATATATATATATATATTTGAGATTTAAATTAAAAAATAGTTATCTTTTAAACTTATTTCATCTATTTCATATGTAATGTTTATATTTTATATTGTCTCAAAATGTTATGAGTTATAGAAGTATAAAAGTTAAAGAAATTAATTTTTTTAAAGATTAGAAAATGATAAGGTATTTGAGGATACAACCATGTTTTTATGAATTCCTTAGATGAATCAAAGACAATCATGAATTTAAATTGCAATTGTGATTGTGGATCTAGTTCGGGTTGTGGGTATTGCTATTGCAATTGTAGATAGGGTTGTGAGTATTGCGATTGTAATTATTGTGGCTGTTGCGATGAGAATTTTTATAAGAATATATTTTGAAATATAACATTAATAAATATTTAATGTTAAATTTTTTTTCAGTACATAACAAGTAAATTAAGTTTTAGGATTTTAATATTTTGATTTTTGATAAAAATAGTTAAAGAAACAAAATTATATAATAAGATTTCTAATATAGTCAGAGGTGTGATTCTAAAATTACACAGTAATTAAAGTCCAATACGATCACAGAGACAACCACATCTGCAATATTGCTGGTAGAATTGTGTTTGCGGAATACAATTTAAAATCATTACACAACCTTTGTGAAGTTAAAGTGTACTAAACTTAATACTTCAATGACATCCTCATATCTAATTTATAAAGTGTACTAAAGTTAACACTTCAATGACATCCTTAAATCTATGCCTGTTATAATCACCACTCAGTAAATAAATGCCAAAATTGGTCAATAGCTAAATTTCAGCTAATGTTATAAACCATGTTTAGGAGTTTTGTACAATACCACTATTTTCATAGTAAACAATTCCTAACTTTTTTTACTGATTTTTTCATGCATGTGTATATATAGAATCAAAATAAGAGATGAAGAAGATAGAGCTATCCCTATAGGGAATTTGAAAAACACTGTACAGAAAAGAAAGAAGAAAAAAAATAGTGTATATACTAAATATAGTTTCATAGAAAAATTATTAGTATTTTCATAAAAACATGGAAGGAGCGCGTGATAATATCAACCGTGTTCGTAGCCAAAAGAAAAGGTTTGCAGTTGTTGGTTTCTCTTCCATTCTCCTTATCGCCGTGATCGGATCTGTCGCGGTCGGTATAACGCGCAGCGGCTTAAGAGAACCAGGGGAACAAAATGGAAAAATATTTACAACACAAAGGGAAGTTGACAGGCTATGTCTAAAAAACCCAGAATGTCATACGAGAGTAGGAAGAGTGTTTAGCGGAACAAGTAACACAAAAGATGGTATAAAAAAAGTGTTCATTGCAGCAGCCGGGGAGTTATCGAAACACACAAACAATCCATCTCTTTTTACTGAATTGGTAAAAGACAACATGACGAGACAAGCGATGCGAATTTGCCACGAAGTATTGGATAATGCTGTTGATGGAGTTAATAAATCTGTTGGGGAATTAGACAGATTTGATTTCAATAGGTTGAATGACTTTATTTTCGATCTTCAAGTTTGGATGACTGCTACACTTACAGATCAACAAACTTGTTTGGATAGTTTAGAGAAAGCAGACACAAAAGCTAGTCAGAGAATGGCTCAGGTTATGAGCACTTCTATGAAATTAAGCAATGATGCTATTGACATGCTTGATTCACTTTCTGGATTGCATAAGAATTTTGGCCGAACAATGAGTGGTTTTAATAGAAGGACTTTATCCGATGAATCAACGAGGCGTGTTAATAGTTTTCCAACATGGGTTAGCGAGGGACAAAGACGTCTTCTCGCTGATCCGAGTGTTAAGCCAGATGCTATTGTGGCGCAAGATGGTAGTGGACAGTTTAAAACGGTCGCTGAAGCTCTTAAGACTGTTCCCGCGAATAATGCAAAACCTTTTGTCATTTATGTTAAGGCCGGTGTTTATAAAGAGGTTGTTAATATTCCTCTAAAGATGGATTATGTGACAATCCTAGGTGATGGTCCTACAAAAACCAAATTCACAGGTAGCCTCAACTTTGTTGATGGCGTCCTAACTTATGATAGTGCAACAGTTGGTAAGTAAAATTTTTTTTTATCTGTAAGACGAGTGATAACAACCACTAAATGCTCACACAAAACCATGAATACCAGGGTTCAAACTCTGATGATGATGTCCATTCAAGCAGTTATTTTTTTACTTAAGCTAAAAGAAAAAGTATCTCATAGTTATTTGATTAAGTTGTATAATTATTTGATTAAGTTGTATATGTATGGCAGGTGTGAATGGTGCAAACTTTGTGGCGAAGGATATAGGCATTGAAAACACAGCAGGACCGAGTAAACAGCAAGCAGTAGCACTAAGAGTTTCAGGAGACATGGCAGTATTCTACAACTGTCAAATAGATGGTTACCAAGACACACTCTTCGCCCAATCCCTACGCCAATACTTTCGCGATTGTATCATCTCGGGTACAATCGACTTTATATTCGGCGACCCCTTCGGAGTTTTCCAAAACTGCAAAATTATAGTTAGAAAACCATTAACAGGCCAATCAAATTTAGTAACAGCTGGTGGAAGACTCACATCAAGCAGCGCAGGTGCACTTGTTTTCCTAAGTTGCCACTTTTCAGGTGAACCAGAATTAGCATCGATGTCACCGAAAATATCTTACCTAGGAAGACCATGGAAAGCATATTCCAGAGTTGTGATAATGGATTCAGTCATAGATGACATCTTTCTCCCCCAAGGTTACGAAGCATGGATGGGAGTTGATTTTACCGACACATCTACTTTTTATGAGTATAACAATAAAGGTCCTGGCGCTGACACGAAAGCAAGAGTGAAATGGCCTAATGTTAAAACTATAACTGCTAATGAGGCTGCTGCTTTTTACCCTGGTAAATTTCTTCAGGTTTCTGGTTCACCTTGGATGACGAGTTCTGGGGTACCTTGTTCCCTTGGTCCTATGAGCGGTGGTTCTGCTGGTTCTGCGTCTTCGTCTTCTCCAGTTATTGCGTCTGCACCTTCTCAGTCTTCTTCATCTTCTCCAGTTACTGCGTCTGCACCTTCTCAGTCTTCTTCATCTTCTCCAGTTACTGCGTCTGCACCTTCTCAGTCTTCTTCGCCTCCTTCGTCTTCTCCAGTTAATGCGTCTACGCCTTCTAAGTCTTCTCCACCTTCCGAGGAGTCTAAGTCTTCTGAAGAATCTAAGTCTTCTTCGTCTTCTGAGGAATCTAAGTCTTCTGAGAAGTCCGAGGAGTCTTGAATTTGGTCATCAAAGTTAAAGATATGAACAACATCAAGAGCTAAATTAATAAGAATCCATTAATTTAGATATTGCTATGAAATAAACCAAAACTATAGCAAAAAAGTAAAATTATAGAGATAAATGAAAGAATCTGTGAATATATTGTTAGGATTCTTACACTTATGATTTTATCTATGTAGTAATAATTTAGTCTTGTTCAGATTTTATTGGAATTACAATGTACATTTGTATCACTTTAGTTAATAAAAATTTTGTTTAAATAAAATGTGGTGATGATTTGATTAGTATTATGTTCATTTGATTACATATCAGAAATTTTAATGATATGGAACAAGTTAGTAATGATAAAAAGTAGTTGTTTAAATAAGAATAATGTATGTACTGTTTTCATCATTTAGAGAACAATTTTATTTTCTTGCTACTGTGAGCAATACAATAAGTAATGAATATCGGCACCCAGTTAACTATTGGTTCAAACATTAAGAAGTATGTCAGACCTGTTTGCACGGAGTCCAATAGATATGATTGATATTGGGGAATTTCTTTATGCATTCTTATATTTTTTTTAGAGGTTTTTAACAAAATTTCCGTAATACTTTCTGATTTCGGATATGCATATCCGAACGAATTTAATATTTTATTTTCAGGATGTTTTCTGATATGCATATCCGAAATAACTCAATATTTTATTTTCAGAGTGTTTTCGAATATGTATATCTGAATAAACTCTTTAACTTAAGTACATGAGATTTTTAGATATGCATATCCGAATTGTTCTGGGTGTATCTTGATCGGACTGTTCATGATGACATCATTTGAATGTCTTTTGAGGATCACATGGAGATTATCCCATTAGACTCCATCTCATTATACTCAAGGTGACTTGCATGTGGAACCAACACTACAGTCATGTATCTTTCGAAGCGATGCATCCAACAATTTGGCTATTGATAAGTGCAAATTGTAGTTATTTTTGTATATACTTTTTGTTGCACGTATCGACTCTTTGTTATTAATATCAGTTGAATAACTCAACTTTGTATATAAATACGTTTAGTTTGTGTATAGTGCATTTTGGTGTACATAGTGTATCGTTTGACAATTTGTATTCATTTTGTAGGTATTTGAGCATTGTTGGAGCAAGAGGAATAAAATCTTTAAGATACATTATTGGGTCAATAAAGGAATAAGGCCAAGAAGAGAGAGCCATTTGAGTTATGTAGGAAGAGTAACAAAAGTTGTTGTTTTGGTGTGCCTCGTCGGACGAAGCCTGGGCGAGAAGCCATCGTGTCTGCCTCGACAGGTGACAGAGAGGCGGGAGGAAAGGATCATTTTTACAATAGCCATTGACTTGGGCTTGTCAGCAGCTCACTGGGCGAGAAATAAGGATGTTACCGGGTGAAGCTTCCCTTCGTCGGGCGAGGGTAGATATTTGAGACTAGTTGCGTACGTGGCGCAACCAGTGCCTTGTATTTAAGGGTCGTCGCCGGGAGACGCTTTTATGTAGCCAGGCGACGCGTGCAGACTAGATTTTGTCTAGTTATGGTTGTGGGGATAGTTTTTGCTCCCAACTCTATCAACCCTCATTTTTTTCTAGTTATAGTTTTGGGGATGGTTTTTGCTCCAAACTCTATCAACCCTCATTTGTTTCTAGTTTAGCTTAGAAAATAACATTGAAGCTTGCATATGGATAATTCGAGGTGGATTACTCTTCGATCGGCACTAACAAATCGGGAGACTTGTGGTTCATTTCTCTTCTTCTTTGTGTATACTTTGTATGTTGGATTGTGTGTATGTATTTACTTTGATCTTGTGTATATTTGTCGTGCATTGCGTTATATAAAACTTTCTTTACAAATCTTTATCGATTGTTGTCTTTGATTTTTGCTATGTGCTAGGAATTTGGATTGTTATAGACATATACTGCTTGAATTCTTATCTAGCATGATTATCTGTTAGTTTTTGGATTCTAGAGATAGATTTAGAGCTGGCATTCACTTGGGTGTCTGTGATTAATGCCTTTGTGTTCGTTGTGTTGACTGAGAGATTGTTAACGCGAGTAGCACAATTGACTTCTGTGTTGTTGAGGTTGGTTGAGAGATCGCTACCGAGGTGATACAGTGGGTGTTGTGTTTGACACATGATGACATTGATGAATATCGTAGATTGAGTATAACTGGTCGATATGTTTAAGTTTGTGAGGAATGGATTATATGCATGCTTGATAAGTTGTTTCTTGGAAGAATGAATTTATTTTTGTTAATAACTTTTACCTTTCCTTACAAACAACCTATTTTCCCCTAAACTCATTAACAAATGATTTTCCGAACAGTAAATTGATAACCAATCTCTATGGACACGATACGATATAACCTAAATATCATCCGATAAAATAATACTTTATTTTTTTCTTGCCGTTATGCCGCTACAACAAAATAGTGTCGTTGTCGGGGATTGGTTTATTGTTTCACATCTCGATAGTTCCTTTGTTTTTGAGTTTTGTAATTAATGTATATGTTGTATAGAAATTGTGCATGAACTTGTTTATCTTTACTTATGAATTTATTTGTTTATGTTTACCACATTTGTACATGTTTTCTATACTTGTGAATTTGTAATGTCATTGTTTTTTCCTTTCACGTTTGCTTGTGTGTTGGTTAGGAATAACCAGGTGGAAGCAACTTGGAGGAACATTCTTAAATAACAGGCGTCGAGCTTACAACGTAAAATAAACATGTTTTATTGTTTTTCTTTTTGTTAGTTTAGGTAGTTGAATGAAATTGTCTAAACAAATTTAACTTGGACTAGTTCTTAAATTTCATATCTTCACTTTTAAATTTTTTTAGACAATTCCATTCGTTCTTTTAGTATGTGTATATTATTTGTGTTCATTTTTGTGTTTGTCTTTGAGCTTGTTGTGAATAGCTTGAGGATATTTAGGTGATTTATCAAGTTTAATTGTTTCAACTTGCGAATGCGTGGTAATAATTTTGTTAAGGTTTTGTACACGTTTGAGGTATGTGTTTATCGCTTTCTATACTTTAACATATTCATGATACTTAGGTTTTTTTACAATTTTTATGTCATTCATTCTTTTGTATACTTGTTCATTAGTGAATCACTTTATTTTCTACTCTTTTTGTGAGATAGCTTTCCATTGTTCATATATGCTGGAGACTACAACTCTTGTTTTAACTAGATTTTATTATGCTTAATATTTTATTTGTGTTGATTGTATGAAAGCATGAAAGTGATCAAGACATTTTGTTTGATTTTGAGCACAACTACCTAGCCAATTATTCAATTCACCTTGTGAGTGTATGATCATTAGTATCCCCTTTTGAACTTTTTTGTCAATGTCCATGTTGTTTTTGCTAAATGCTTGTCTATGAGTGTTTGGTTCTCATTTTTGTATGGACATTGATACTTTGTTTTCTTGAACACTTAACTTTGATTTATAGTTTGAATTTTTTCCTTGCCTTAGAAAGTAGGGAGGATTCATATTATGATGATGGTTGAATTCAAGTTGGGGAGAGGAATGTTTATGTGTTTATGTGTTTATGTTGTAATTCCTATGAGGTTGTAAAGAAATCAAAGGAAAAAAAATAAAAAGAAAAGAAAATAAAAATTAAAAAAAATTGAAAAAGCTTTGAAAAATAAAAAGAGTTCGAATAATTGTGCGAATAAGTATGGTGTTTTGGTTTAAGAAATTTGGAATGAAGAAGAAGTTTGATTGAAATTGTGTTGCTTGAGTCTTTGTGACTTGATCACTCCCTTAGATTAAGGCAAGTTTTTGTTTCGATTAGCTTTAGGACTTATCCCTTGTTTGTTAACCAAGCCACATTACAACCTTGAAAAGTCCTTGATTCTTGCTTTTATGTATTCAACATGAAATTTTGGATGAGTGTATAATTTAATCTTTTGCTTGCAAGGTTGTTGGATGAGTGAAAATACCTCATTTTTATGTGTCTGTCATCTACCGATGATTGATTTTGCTAGGTATGATTCATTTGTGAACTAGTCTTGTTTTAGAATATTTGGCATGATTTTTGTATTTAGCATTTGTTTCGTGTTTATGTTATAGTCATAGTTTAGTGATAAGTGTTTACTTTGTGTGTATTATTTTTCATTTGAACCATTTCCTTTGTTTTCCGTTTTTAAAACTTGTCGATTCGTGATTCTTTGGTTGATCGTTTTTGTTTCTTATTTGAGGACAAACAAATTCAAGTTGGGGAGAGTTTGATAAGTGAAAATTGTATTTACTTATATATATATATATATATATATATATATATATATATATATATATATATATATATATATATATATATATATATATATATATATATATATATATATATATATATATATATATATATATATATATATATATATATATATATATATATATATATATATTGTTGCACTTATTGACTCTTTGTTGTTAATATCAGTTGAATAGCCCAACTTTATGTATAAATACGTTTAGTTTGTGTATAGTGCATTTTGGTGTACATAATGTATCATTTGATGGTTTTGTATTCAATTTGTAGGTATTTGAGCATTGTTGGAGCAATAGGAATAAAATATCCAAGATGAATTGTTGGGTCAATAAAAGAATAAGGCCAATAAGAAAGAGCCATTGGAGTTATGCGGGAAGAGAAACAAAAGTTGTTGTTCCGGTGTGCCTCGTCGGGTGAAGCCTGGGCGAGGAGCCTTGGCATCTGCCTCGTCGGGCGATGAAGGGGCAAGAGGAAATGCTAATTTTTCCAATAGCCATTGACTTGGACTAGCCAGCAGCTCGTTGGGCGAGAAATAAGGATGTCTCTAAGTGAAGTTTCCCTTTGTTAGAACAAAATTTGGTTCTGCAATATTATCTCTGAGTTTTGATGATAACAAATGAGTATGTTTGTATGAGAAATTTTGATACTCTAATGTTTGTTATTTTTGAGTATTTAACAAACAAGTTATGCTTCTGATGGATGGCGTGGCTAAGA